CAGGGGACTGGATGGGCACAGACCGTCCCAGGCCTCTGTTGAGAGCGTGGTCTGCTTCTCCCCTGACTTGGGGTCCACGATGACCCACGTGTCCTGCTTCTTCCCTGGCAATGAGAACACCTTTCCAAGCCTCCGCTGCTCCAGTGCCCATCCCTGACAAACACCCCCAGGCTTCCTCCAGTCTCCCCTCCATGGATGCATTCCCGGGGTCCCCTCTCCTCCTCCTGCTCCTCCGTACCGGTGTACAGCACGCCATCCGAACTGCGGCAAGGCGAGGACTGCACCAGCTCTGGGATGGTGAATGGGAGCTTCTGCAAGAACACAGAGGAGAGGATGCGGGGCCTGCCCAAGCAGCAGCATTCCTGCTGTCAGGAGCAGGGCAGGAAGGATATGTCCCCGCAAACCCCCTCCTCCTCCTCCCCTGCCCTCATGGCTCAGGATGGCACAGTGGAGAAGGACGGATCCCAGCTGATACCTTTCTGGTGACAAGGACAAGCTGGAGCAACCAATAGCCCCATGCTTGCCCCGTCAAGCTCTGACTAGTCTGCAGCCCCCAGGGTGGCAGGGAGGATGCAGGCAGCCCCCAGCCCCACTCACCATCAAGCCTTCCTTGTTCTTCCCTCCCAGGATGTACAGGCTGCCGTCATTGGGGTCTGGGAGGAACGCTGGTCTGGAAAGGAGAGAGCGGGTGAAACATGAGCATCCCTGGGCACAGGCCAAGGGCTGAAGCGGAGCTGCACTAATGAACCCCCACGGTGCTTTGCTCCAGGGTGCTCACTGCGGGGCTTGGCCTTTCCTGGAACCTCCAGAGCTGGATTTGGGAGATGAGCTCCTGCTGTGGGTCAGCTCCGTAACCCCATAGGGCTGCCCTGCACCTACTGGCCCTGCTGGCTCCGTGCCCTGCTCCCTGCAATCCCACTGTGCCCCTGCTCTTCCAGGTGGATTTTCCTCTATTTCCCTCCTTTCATGTGTGGTGGTGCTGAGAGCTCCTGGCTGTAAAGCGCTGCAGCTCAGCAGCAGGGAGCAGCTACTGCTCATTGGTCTGCACAAAGGGCTAACACAGGGGGTAGGTCAAGGCAATGCCATGGTGTGAGCTGGGAGGTTCATGTCCCCGGGGTTCCCTTCCCCTGCTGTGAACTGCAGGCTCCTCGAGGCAGTTGTGCACCAAAACAGGCACAGCCGGTGCCGGTGCCCGGGGTTTGACACTCACTCTGCCACATAGACCGGCACCTGCAGAATGGGATCTGGAAGAGAGGGAAAGCAGACGTCAGCAGCCTCTCCCTGCCGGGGCGCAGCACAGCGGTGTTTGCTCAGTGCTGCCTGTTTGCATTGCAGACCCAGAACCAGCACCCCCGGCTCATGCTCTGCTCCAGCACAGCTGAGCCTTGAGCTGGAGCCGGCAGCATCCCTGGCATGGACGAACCCCAGAAAGCCAGGCTGGGGCTGCACCCCCAAACCCAGCTAGAGCCGAGCCCCAGGAGCTGGGTGTGAGCAAGCACCCCCCAGGCATCACTCACCATCCTTGAGGGTCCACTTGATGTCCCCTGTGCTCTTACTCACTGCGTGGAGGTTTCCATCCAGCGTGGATACAAAGAGCAGCGTCTCTGGGACAGTCACAGCACCGCCCTTGAGGCACTGCGGGCAGGAACACGGTCCTTAGGGAGCAGCAGGGCCAGGCCTGGGGACAAGCTCCCATTGCCCAGCGCCTGTCCCCTGGATCCAGCTTTGCTGCCGGTGGGAATGAGCCGCAGCACGACTGCTCCCTGCCGTGACTCCTGGCGCCTTCCCACAAGTGACACAAGCAGCCCAGCTACCGGCTCCCTCCAGAAACAAACGAGTTGGGTGACTTTTCATGCCAGCAACGCAGCCAGCGCTCCCCCGGGGCCTCGGAGCCCGGGTGTCGGCTGCCCTGACGTGGAGGAGGTCACCGCAAACACACGCGGGGAAGCGGAGCTGCTGCTCCCCAGCCCAGCAGCCGTACAGCGAGCGCCAGCTCAGCCGGCAGCGCGCACACACCCCATGGGCAAACAGGGATCCGCAAACAGCCCCGGACCCGAACGGCTCCGGGCAGAGGCAGGGCTGGAGCCGCCGTCCCGGGTGCCAGCGCGGCGCCAGGCAGGACAGAGAGAGGAACCTGCTGCACCCTCGTGCCTGTGCAGCCCCTGCGCTGCCTCTGACCTGCTCTGGACCCAGCCAGGCCACCAAGCAGGCACTGGCTGATGGTCTGTGCACACCCTGGCCCCCATCAGCACCAGCTCCCTCACAGCAACCCCTCTGTGCCAAGACCAATTCTTCCCTTTGCCCTTCTTGCAGGGTAGCAAACACGGAGCTCTCGTGGTGTGGCCACTGCATCAGGGAATAGAACAGAGCCCACCTCACCGCGGTCAGAGCCCAGCTCTCTGCGCTCACCAGCTCTGCTTCTCCCTGCCCTGATGCTTTGCAGCTCCTTCCATCCCTTCTGCAACTAAAGCTTTTCGGCGTCAGGGCACCCAAACAAAGGCCGGGCTGCCCAGCAGCTCGCACACAGCACCGCGGGCAGGACTGGGACAACCGGGAGCTGCCACCCTCCCCTCCACTCCCAGCCCCGCTGCCCCAGCAGCCCAGGAGAGCAGCTGCTGTTCCCATGGGATGTCCCCAGGACCCCTGCTTCCCGAGGCTCCCACCACGTCACCCTGGAGCCTGCAGCGATGCTGGACGCCAGCCACGGGCTTGGGGCACATTCGCTCCCCCAGTGACGGAAAGGGACAGTGAGGCACAACCAGGAACACGGCCCCTTTGCCACGGCAGCGCTGCCAACGCTCCCGGCCCGGCAGCAGCTCTGCGGGCAGGAGCAGGCAGGGACGGGCCCTCGGCTCCGCTCAGCGCAGTCGGACTCGGCGCTGGAATCGCTTCTATGGTCAGAGGACAGCATCTGCGCGGGGCTGCGGCGCCGGGGCCCGCACGCTGCTGCCAACACCATTAACGCGGCCACGGGGCCCCGCAGAGCCTCACCCGCACCCTGCGCCCTCGGGGGCTGGACCCCGGGCTCCCCGCTCACTCCCGGCGCGTTCCCCGCACCCGCACGCCGGGGCCTCACGCGCACGGGGCTGTTCCCGCTGCGCTCGGACCCGCTCCCGACGGCGCCGCTGCCCGCGCTGCCAGCCCGGGGGACACGGACGCGCTCGCCGCGGTCCCCCTGGTCCCGGTACCGCGCACCCGCCCCTCGCGGTACCTGCGCCGGGAGCAGCAGCAGCGGCAGCAGCAGCGGCGGCAGCGGGAGCGGGAGCCCGCGGGGCAGCGGCGCGGCGGGGCCGCCCATGGCCCGCGCGTACCGGACATCCCGGGGCATCGGCGTGCAGGGCCGGGCCGGGCCGCTCTTATCGCCGCGTCGTGAGTCAGCGGGGCCGGGGCGGGACCAGGACGCGGCTTCCTGCCCTCCCCCGGTCCCCCCCGCACCGGCTCCCGCCGCCCCGCCCCGGTGCGCGGGGCTCTGCCAGGACCCCGTCCCGTGGCATCCAGCTTCAGCTGAGGGGAGAGCGGAGCTGGGGCCAGAGCCCTGCCCCGACCGCTGGAGCTGAAGGGCTCTTCCTCTGCCATGGAGCCAGGCTGAGAGAGCTGGGCTGCTTCAGAGAAGGCTCCTGAAGGGGAGATCTTAGAGCAGCTCCAGTGCCTAAAGGGGCTCCAGGAAACCTGGAGAGGGGCTTGGGACAAGGGCCTGTAGGGACAGGACAAGGCTGTCTTTGGCTTTAACCTGCCAGAGGGGAGACTGAGATGAGCTCTTAGGCAGAAGTGTTGTCGAAGCAAACAGAGCAATAATTATCAGACTTTAATCCAGACTGACCTTACAGCATGAACCAGCGGGACAACCAGGCAAGGTTACACTTAGGAAAATGCACCAGTGCAAGTCTAAGACTAAATATTTGTCATCTCCCTCCCCTGAAAAAGGCAACAGATTATTTAAAGATACCATCAGACATGGTACATGTTCCGTTCAAATAAACCTGGAGTGGACACAAATACCTAAGGCTTTTAATATAAAACCAAAGACTGAATTGCTTCGAGTCCGGGTAAGACAGAGTGAGCTTCCAGGGGCCAAGGAGAGAGAGGCCTTGACTAGAAGGGAAGATGGTGACAGGTTTCAGACAAGACTTGCTACAGGCCTCCTGGTCCTCCCCTTCCTCTCCTGTGATGACAGCAATGAACACAAGATGCTGAGGACCTGATCCTAACGTGGGGAAAGGTGAGGGACAAAACTGGGAATGGGAACTGCTCCATGGGGAAAAAACAGTTACAGAGGGAGAAATAGTCAACAAAAGAAGGAATTTTGGGAAGAGGCCTCGTTGCGGGAGCACCTGGGACTAACCCCAACACCACACACCATCACCATGAGCAGGTCACTTCTCTTCAGCCCTTGGAGCATGGGGAAGCCACAGTCACAGACTGTGGGCAGCCTGATGCTGTGTGTGACCACTACAGCTGCTTTATGTGAACAGGTTCATAGCGAGTTCTTTGAATTCACATCATTTTCTCTCCCATCACTGTGAGCTCCTTCTTCCAGTTACACACTGCTCAAACAGTGCTATTAATGGGAATTAATCATTGACTTTAATCTTACACTTGAGATGATGAACTTGTAACACAAGATTTACCTGCAAGATACTGTGTCCGCTCAACCCAAGCGAGGTTTAGTGACACGCTCCAGCATTCCCAACACAAAACTACACAAGGAACTGTTTATGCTTGGGATGCACAGAGGAGGGAATACTGGAACTCACGGTGCTGGACATGGAGAAAGGCCAGGGATGCACCCAGGTGAGCAGCAGTGCTCATGCAGGGAGCTCTGGGACATGGCAGGACTCCTCCTGGATACACCAGAAGATACAGAGCTCCCATGGTTCTGAAAGAGAAAGAATCCTGGAGGTGGGGCTGCTAAGTTCAGTTGGAATATTCATCTCAAAGAACTCCCAAGAAACCGACTGGATTGAGCCAAAGAACACCAGGTAAAGCATTTTATGTAAGTATCATTTTCCTGTATTTTAATTCAAACTTTGCACATAGAACAAAAGAGTGAAACAATTTCATTTTTCAAATAAAAACCAACGTAAAAAGAAGCACCTGAACAGAATTACATTTAGTTTATAGTATTCTCCATGTTTGAACTTGCTTTGTAACCAATGGGCTTTATACTCAGTTCCCTTTGAGATGAGCAGCTGTACCTGCACAGGACGCAGAGGAATCGTGCCCTTGGGACAGGAGCAGACAGGAATGTGGCACATTGCCCCGTGCCTGTGGTGCCCTCACAGCAATGCGTCAGGTACCTGCCCTCCTGCAGCACCAGAGCATGCTCACCCTGGTCACTGCAGCGGGCACAGACACACTGGAGCTCTGGGCAGGAGCTGGAACAGAGATACATGCCCTGTTCCAGAGCACACAGCGAGAGGATAGGGAAGGAAAATGGAATATGAGCAGATGGACAGACAGGTCCAGGCAAGCCAGGTAGCAAGTGGGAGCTGATGGTCACAGAACCAACAAGATGGTGAGTGCAAAGGTGACCCCAAGTGACAGGAAAAGCTGATGGCACCGTTGTCTTTACGCTGCAGTGCGTACACTCTCCACCAGGTCCTGGAGTTTAAATTGTGCCTGAACAGCAGGACTGGCAATGAATCAGAAGCGTGACAGCAGCATCCAGTGTGCAATGTTCTCTCCCATCCGGTCACTCCAGCTCCACTGCGAGCTCCAAGCTGCTCTGGGGACCCGACAGGAATTGCTCCCATCTCAGTGCACTTAGGGCAGGACACGCTGCTGCTGGCTTGCGTACAGAAAAGAAACACCTCAAGCTACAGGAGTGACAAGTACATCACCGGTTTACAGGCAGGATACAAAACACCTCTAAGATTTGTATTGCATGGGTGGTCTGACTGAAAATACAAAACAAAAGCTGCTTACGTTGCTATCAAGAGCTTACAAGGAAATACGGAATCATAACACATACCATAAAGTGAATGCTTCTCCCAGACTCTCAAATAAAACCGAACAAATACTCGTTTGGGAATCTGCACCTGCTGAGTTTCAACTGGGCTGCTTTAGGGAAAGAGAAAACAAGACATGGAGCACACCAAGACCAGCTATTCCCAACAGGCCTCTCCATGGGTTCACAGAGCGTTAAGCTACTTGCACTGAGCACTGTCAAGTTCAGTGTTAAACAGCGACCTGCCTGATGCAGGTTTAACACGGAGCCAGGCGGATTGAGCCTGACTGCCCAGCACTATCTGCGAAGGGTCTGCACCTTTGCAGGACTGAAAGGTCCATCAGAAACCTGAGATAATGGCACGTGGCTGGCTGAGAGGACAGGCAGAACTTCACAGGCCAAAGATGGGAGCGCTGCTTCAGACAGGACGAGAGGCAAGAGCTTCCTGTAAACTTGAGCAGAGAAAAACTGAAAGGTGATCTCAACTTCAAGAGACCAGCTGCTGGACAGATATTCTGAATTGGGCAGGATTCACTGAATAACATTGCTATACATTTTCACATCCAGGACACAAAAGACTACTGCGGTGATGGAGGGTCCAAACCAGCATCTGAGCATCTCTCCTTCCCATCAGGGCAGGGAGATCTCTTTGGTTCTCTCCCTCCCAAGGCTGGTGTTGCTGCTTCATGTGCTCACCCAGCAGCACAATGCAGCTCAGGAGGGTTTGTCAGTCACACGGGTGAGTGTCACTGCAACTGCTGCAGAAGGACTCTAGACCACAGCATGCAGGGTCAGGGGAATGCTCCAATACCATCACACTGGGGGCAGGACAGGAGCAGCGAGGTGCAGGGTGGGAGAGGAACAACTAACACGGCATGAACGGGAGCGGGAAGCAGCACAGTGATGTTCATGTGCTCCAAACATGCTACATGGAGTGCCAACCCAGAGCTTCTGGTATGGAACACATCGGTGAGGGAGGGAAGGAAGCAGGGCATCTTTGGGTTAAAATAATAATGAAAACATTAGTTTTGCTACCAAAGAGTCAAACCTGAAACCAAAGGGCCGCAGAATATGGCTTTACTGAGCATCAGTTTGCATACTGCTTAAAGTTTATTCTTAAAAAAACAGCTTCTGAAAGTCACAACCAAGTCACGAAATTAAATTTAACTGAAAGATTATGAAAATAGCTGGTTTTGTTCAAACCATGTAAAAAATCCTCCATAATACATCGTCATATTTCCTTTTCAAAACTAAACTGGAAGATCAACTCTCAGCAGATTTAAGTGTATTACACATGATACTTTGTGAATTAAGATTTATTGATTTCCATTGTATTTGCTTTAAATATGGTTGAAGCTGACTGCAGAAAAGGGATGGTGAAATTTTTAAGTTAAAAGTAAACTAATGGTGAAAGGACATCACCTCTGGCTTCCCTCAATGCCTCGTTTGTCAGGGTTTATTAACAAGTTCCAGGACTGTCACATCCAGGGATGTTGGAGGCCTCCCCCAGCAGTGTCCTTTGCTTTGTGTCATTTTCCTGTGCCAGAGGTGAGCGTGCTTTCAAAAATACTGCCACTTGCCCAGCACCGTGTCTTTGATTGCATCAACATATTGAGTGGGTACCCAATAGACCCAGTAGTAAGACGCTTCTGTTGGGCCCAGCTGAAATGCCTGTGAAGTTAAAAATGACAACGTTTACAAACAGGAAACAAACAGCTCATACCACGGGGCGGGTACAGCCTGACCACTATGGACTCAGCAGTGTCTGCTGCTTCAAACACTCGGTGCATGCTCCTGGTATGTGGAAAGCAACTAAAAAAAGCTTCCTCAGAGAAATGAGAACGGCAAAGTAGCAGATAAAGTGAGGAGCTCCTTCCTTTTGTGATACCACAGCAGCAACAAAAGCTCTTGGCCAGTTTCAAGAACATGAGGAAATTATTCTGGAAGACAGAATCTGAAGCACAGCTCCAAAGAACTGACTGGAATGCACAGAGCTGAGAAGCCAAACAAGAACTAAAGACAATGACCATGATTCCATAGTCATAAGATTGCACGGAACTTTACATTCGGACATAATGTCCTGTTCTCAGCCTATGTCAGTGTTCATAGCTGAGGAGCACCATGGCAGCCAATAGCCTCTACCCTTGTGTTAGGGTGAGAGTGTATTGCAGCATACCCGAGGACATTTTCTTACATGGGCGATCAAAACCCCAGTATTTGGACAAAGCCTACACCAGCACCCTCCTGCAGGCGACGATTTTAAGGTGCAACATCTCCCACTTCTTCTAAAGAAGGAAAAAGACTTATATAAAGGAACTTACTTCAGCATTAAAAGTTATTACTGTACTTTGGAAAGCAAGAACTCAATAAAACCCCATAGATTAAAAGAGACAAGAATTCAGAGGAATTAGCAGAGGTTTCTTCTTAAATGTGCTCCTCTTCTAGGCCCTGAACCAGATTCTCAGAAAATCGCATATGGAAAAAATACACAGCATGAAATCCCTATTTGTTTGTTTAACCTCCAGCAAGGCTGTTGTCTATGTGAATGTGCCATTTATGTGACTACAACAGAAACCAGAAATAAACTAGATACAGGGAAACACCGCTAAGAAATCGGGAGCTATATTGTGAGCATTCTTCTGCTAACACTATCGCCAGACAGAAGATATGAGGCAATGCTCAAGCACTTCATGTTTGTGTGAAACCAGCCCACATCCACAGCAGCAGATAACCACCATGCCACCCAAAATATTTACACTGACAGCACACCATGTCCACATTCCCATCTTCACACCACATGAGGCTGCTCTCACTATCCACCTCCAACTTGCTCTGTTTTAAAAGTCCTGCTTCGTGTATTTGCATGAAGTAATTAGACTGGATATATTAAAGGAGAGACATTACTTACCATCATGTGATAATCCTCATGTCCTTCAATAGGTTCACTCACCACATTTTTAATGGACCCCATGGGTAACTTTTCTGTTCTCTCTACATTAAAATTGATCAAAGTATTATTTCTGACATAGGATGCAGTAGTAGTTCATATTAATTTCAAATACCACCACCATTACCTCCAAAAGCTCCTCATGTCAGCAGTCTCCTCTGGCTGAACTTTGGCTACCTGCTGCTGAGAAGCCTGTTGTCCACATCACCACATACCCTCCCCAGGAATCCAATTGTGGACCCCACAGCTCCTTACATTTTAGGTCTCTGCATCACATTAGGCTCTTCGATGTACCTGATTCAAGCCTAAGCTGAGTGATGGGGATACCCTGGCTTTATTTAGTGCTTCCCCGTAAAGAACTCCACTTGGACTATCAAGATTACTCACCATAGCAAAGGCTGGTCCAGGCGTAAGGATATCCAGGACCCATTACCAAGGGTAGCTCTAAGCTCTACAGGTAGGTACTAAGCTCTACTGCAATGAGAGGTTGGAAACTAAATGAAGACAGGCTAAAGAGCCCTTTGAAAGCCTCCTCCTGGTTTTACCCTGAGGCACTGTTCAACTGTTACTATAAAAGCACAGGGAAGGAAATATGAGTAAATAGGGAGAGCAACAAAAAGAGAAATTGAAGAAAAAGATGCCTACAATTATGTGACAGAGTAATGTCAGCCAGAGGTAGGCAATAAGAAATGACAAAGAACGTGGTTCATGGCAGACTTCTCTCAGCTGCGTCCTCATTTCTATGACTTACTCCAAGGCCCTTCCTTTCAGTTCCAGCTTTCAGCGTTCACCTAAAATTACTGAGCTGACCCTGATCTACCCCACTCAGACTCACAACGTTCATTCACTGAGGAAAATCTTCCTTTGCATTCACAAATCAACTGCTCCTCACAGTACCTCAGCAACAGACAGATCGCCGTTATCAACACCTCTGACACAGAGCAACCGAGAAACATCTGCCTCTACCAAACCTCAGACTACACAAACCCTGCACAAAGTGACCGGTGAAGCACAGAGAGGCTGCGTGGAGGAAGAATCAGTTTCGACTTTCCAGGACTAGCAAGTGACAAACGGTGTTAACACCCAGTTGGTTTACTCTAGCCCTTATGTGCTGGCGCCTGACATGCATTTCTCGGCGCAGGAAGGAGCTTTCCCAACAACAGCCAGCAATTACAGCCATTCCCTAGAGGAAGCAAGCTGCTGCTAATTTGGGGAAGTAGGGAAACAGGTTACATGAAAGGGAGATGACTACAACAAGAATCAAATTTCACAGCTTAAGAAACTCTGATCTAGAACACTTCAGAAACACTAAACTTGAAACTCATCTAGAAGGTGAAGGAAATTACCTCAACGCTACGCCTGTGTCCAGGACACAGTATCTGTAATGTAAGCACCTGCTGCACAAACTTCCAAGGCAAAAAAAAAAAAAGCCCCATAAGTCTCACTCCACTGTTTAGCCCAGGAGGAAAATCACTGCAGCTGGTACCAAGGGAGGTTTCACAGCCACAAAAGTCTTCACAACCAAGTCTGTCCTAGAGAGGAAAGGTCAAAACCTCCCAGGATTTCTGCTTACTCTGGAAATAATGTAGCAGCTGGAGGTACCACCCGAAGCTACTATTACCACGCAACAAGGTTACTTTACTGGGACAGTGAGCAAGCACTTCTCTTCCTCTTGCTCATCACCCTGCTATTGCCCATCCTCGTCAAACGGCAGGAGCAGAGCTTCCCTTGGAGGCAGGGGCTACGCAAGACATCCTCAGCCACATATGCTAGCATCACAGCAGGTTCAGCTCCTTCTGGCACCGCTCAAGACAGTAAACTGATTCCTCTGCACAGCAGCACAGGCCAGGGTCTCTGCACTTGTGCATCACTGAAATAAGACACCCAGCTAATTTTGGTTGGAAGGACAGATAATGACAGAGATGCCAGCACTCTGAGTTTAATCCCACTTCTAAGATTCCCTTTCGAGCCTTAGCCAAGTCATTGAGCCTCTGTGGGATGCTGGCACCAAACCAATGTTTAAGAAGTGCTTTTGAGAGAGGCCAGAAATGCCAAATATTGTAATGTACGTTTGCAGCTGTGAACAGCAGATTGGAGCAGTCCTCCACTGGCACAATTGAGCTCAGGTTTTTCCAACAACACCAGTAAAATATCAAGTAATAGTCAATGATCTGGGCAAATGGCATCTGAAGAGCAAGCAAAATGTAATGTTAAAATACTGCAATGCCAGCATTATTCTCTAAGCACAATTTAGGCACACCAGGAGCTATTTCAGGGTCACACAATTTGCTTCTAGTCCCATTACCCACTATTCATCTCAGGGCTTTAGAGTTGCTCACCTTTTGTACCAATCCATAGCTGGTCTTGCTCAAGTTTAAAGGTCAATCTGACTTTCCCTCCAGACTTGTTGTACATGCCAGACAATGGCACTGTTGGCAGGCGCTCCTACAGAGTGGGAACACAGTAAGGCAAGGTGAAGGACTTGAACAGAAAAAGCTACATTCCCTTCACTTCTTAAGCACCAGGATGATCCATCTATTCCAGTTTTCTGCTAAGACAGTGAAGAACCATTGGGCCAGCAAAGATAGGTCTCAAACCACAATAAAAGCCTCTTTCCTGATCATGACAATGTCTCAAGTACTTATTTACTTACCTGAACACCTTTAACAGAAGGCATCACATCATCAGGTTTGCCTTTATCCAATACTTTTCTGTGTTGCTGCAACATAAAAGCAGAAGTTGGAATTTACAGAAACACAACAGAGCTTCCAGCTGCCCTTCTTGACAGTATTCCCCCAGCACTAGGAGACAGTTACAGACTATTCACAGTAACTTATCACACAGGAAATGGTTCATTTTCAGAGTTAACTGAGCACTTTCTGGGACAGTCTAAAGAAATTCTACAAATGAACAGAACCCCAGTATAAAGCAAAAGAACATCCCTTCTACAATATACGTATTCTAATATAGCTATCTAGAAAAAAATATCAGAAATGTTGAATCACATAGTTGGCATTTAGCAAGACAGCCTTAACAGTCAAGGGTTACATCCAGTGAATGGCAGAACCGGTGTGACAGTGCAACATACTGCAACAAACCAGAACAGATTAGAGCAGTTGTAACTAAGAAAACCACGCTCAGAGCTTGTAAGTTGCCGAGTACCTTTAAGCAATGATAGAGTGAACGTGAACTATGCTAAATTACAGAAAAACAAAAGCACGTTTCATGAAGGCTGCAGTTCAAGGAAGCGCTACCCAAGTTTTAACCACGTTTATTTTGAGGCAGGGTAATGCCTCGAGCTGAGAACCCTTCCTCAGCCCCACAACTGCAGCCCTGCGTCAGTGTGAGCTCCTTGCATGGCTCTGCACCTCCTGCTCGGAGGCAGCACTTCAAGGCACGAGAGGAGCATTGAACATCCACGCTCCCTTCAGTGCTGTGGCAGGTGAAGGAGCTGCTCTCTTGGTGTTTGTTTTAAAGACAGATTTTGGTGATCAAACTCTTTCATGCCAATAAAAATTAGTTCGATTTTAAGAAGAATTCATCCAGACTGTGTCTGACCTAACACCCTCAAAATACTTCCATTATTTACCATTTCTTATCTGAAACGCTGAGCCTGGCACCAGCACAACCGGTGCAGAGCTCTGCTAGCCTAAACAGTCTTCTGTTGCTAGAACTCCTCGGCCTTGAGCCCTCCTATCACTCGGCAAGGAGAAACAAACCCCAGCCTGCTCTGGGAAGGAAAAGGACCCATAGGTGACCACAAAAGAACTGCGTGACGCCCACAGCACCACCCCCCCTCCCCGCCAGCAGTTAGTGAGACATTAATAACCTTTTGTCTGCAAAGTGGCTCCTTTTTGTTCTCTTCAGCTTTGACCTCCTGTTGAGCGGCCTCTTTGGGTGTATTCACAGCCAAAACGTCGTTGATGGTGGAGCCAACCACCATGATCTTCGCTCCGTTTGTTACTTTGATTTCCCGCAAGGTTTTCTCCTCCGGTAGAAGTCCCTTGAACATAACTTTCTGCATGGCAGGGGGGAGGCCTAAGGGGCAAGCACAGCGGTTACGGCCCGGCCGAAGGCAGCGGCAGGGGGAGGCGCGGGCAGCGGCGGCCCCGACAGACCTGTGAGCGAGTGGATCTTCTGCTTGAGCTCGGCGCCCGTGCTGTCCAGCGCGAACCTCACGTCGTACTTGTTCTTGTTCCAGATCACCTTCAGCTCCACCAGCTCCCGCCCGCCCTCCCCTTCGCCGCCGTTGCTGACAGACGCCCGCGGGGGATCCCGCCGCTCCTCGCCCTGCGGAGACGACCCCGCGGCCGGCGAGGAGCCCTCTCCGCCGCAGCCCAGCGGCAGCTCCGGCGCCTCCACCTCCATGCCCGACTCCTCAGCACCTGCGGGCGAGCGGACAGGAAGAGCGCGGCCAGCGAGGACCTGCCCCGGCCCGACCGACCGCGTCCAACCGCGGCGCGCGCGAGCCCGGCCCCGCCCTACCGGCCCCTCCCCTCCGCTCCCAGCCCGGCCCCTCCCCGCGCCGCCGCCCGCCACCGGTACCGCGAGCTCCTACCATCGGCGGCGGCGGCGGCGGCGGCGGCGGCCATGATGATTGTGTACAATGTGCCGCGGGGCACGCCGGGAAACGCCGCCGCGGCCTCAAGAGCCTCCCCGGCTGCCGTAGCCCGGCCCCTCCTGCTCTGCCCTGCTTTGCCCGCTCACCGGTGCGGCGCCGCGGGCCAGGCCGTCCCCGGAGCCCCGGCACGGGAGCAGGGGCAGGGCCGTGCCGGGCTCCCCCCGCGCTTTCCCGGGCTCCTCCCGAGGCTCCGGTGCCGGCGGGAGGAGCAGGAGGGTGGTGGCGCCTTTAAGGAAGGCTCCGCTCCCCGGGCTACGGTGGCGCGGGGATTGGCTGGAGCGCCCAGGCGGAAGTAGCGCCCGCGGCCACGTGGGCTGCGCGGCGGGATGGCGCGGGCGCTGCGCGGCGCCGCGGGGCCGGTGCGGGGCCTCGGCTCGGGGCCCGGCGGGGAGCGGGGCCCGCGGGTGCGGTTCGGGCCCAGCCCCACAGGTAACCCCTGGGCCGGCGCCCTCGGGGGCTCCGCTGCGGGCGGGGACGGAAAACGTGAATTCGGACTCTTGAGCGTGCGCGGGGCTCTGAGGCGCCTGCGGGCTCCCCGCTCAGTGCGGGCACTTCTTGACAAACACAGCACCCGCTGATGGGAGCCTGTAGGGACAGGCCAAGGGGAATGGCTTGAACCTGCCAGAGGGGAGGCTGAGCTGAGCTCTTGGGCAGAAGCTCTTCCCTGTGAGGGTGCTGAGGCGCTGGCACAGGGTGCCCAGAGAAACTGTGGCTGCCCCATCCCTGGCAGTGTTCAAGGCCAGGTTGGACACAGGGGCTTGGAGCAAGCTGCTCTAGTGGAAGGGGTCCCTGCCCGTGGCAGGGTTGGAGCTGGAGGAGCTTTAAGGTCCCTTCCAACACAAACCAGGCTGGGGTTCTGTGATAAAAGTGCTGTCCAAGTCACCTCAATAAGAGCTTGGGAAGCTCTTGTTCCATACCAAGGGCCTACAAGGGCCATGCAGCTCAGCTCCCTGCCCAGCCAGTGAGCAGTTTCCATTGCAGATAGCATTTACTTGTCCAGCCCTGCTGGACCTCAGTTCTGACTCATTTGGTTCCTCATGGTGACAGGTTTTCTGCATTTGGGTGGCCTTCGAACCGCTTTGTACAATTACATTTTTGCCAAAAAGCACCAAGGGACCTTTATTTTGAGAGTGGAGGATACGGATCAAAACCGAGTGGTGCCTGGAGCTGCAGAAGGAATAGAAGACATGCTGGATTGGGCAGGTACTCACAGACAGCTTTCATTGTTTGCTTACTGAGAGCCTCTTCATGATTAACAGTACTTATACTGAGTATTTTTGCACAGTAGCTCCTGTGCAGCCTTTCAGACAATGAGTTGGATGCAATCTAGTTATTGCTATCTAGTTATTCTGGGCATCGGGGAAGTCCCACTGGGAGCATGTTGTGAAGCAGAAATAACTGCCCTGGCTTGGTTGCTTTTGTATTGTTTGCGAGATCCACATCTGTGCAAGTGTCAGAACGTGACAAAGGTGCGCAAGAGATGTGATGGAAAGGGCCGATGTTGGAGCTGACAGACCTCCCTTTGTACTGGTGTTTCAGGTATTCCCCCTGATGAGAGTCCTCGCCGCGGTGGCTCCTTTGGCCCCTACCAGCAGTCGCACAGGCTGGAGCTGTACCGGAGTGCCAGCGCCGAGCTGCTGGAGCGGGGCGCAGCGTATCGCTGCTTCTGCACCCCGCAGCGCCTGGACCTGCTGAAGAAGGAGGCTCTGCGCAGCCAGCAGACCCCGCGGTAGGACCCCCCTCTGCTGGGCCCTCCCCTCTGGGCTGCACCCTTGCAGAAACTTAGCCAGTAAGGTTGTCATCTCACTGCCCACAGTATCTGAAGGGGGCCACAAGGGTGCCAGAGAGGGACCTTCATGAGGGACTGTAGCGACAGGACAAGGGGTGATGGGTTCAAACTGAAACAGGGGAAGTTCAGGTTGGATGTAAGGAAGAAGTCCTTTACTGTGAGGGTGGTGAGGTGCTGGCACAGGTTACCCAGGGAAGTGGTAAATGCTCCATCCCTCGCCAGTGTTCAAGGCCAGGCTGGACTGAGCCTTGTGCAGTATGGTCTAGTGTGAGGCATCCCTGCCCGTGGCAGGGGGTTGGAAATAGATGGTCCTTTCCAACCCAAACCATTCTACGATTAACCCTTAGAGGCTGAAGGGAGTGACATCCAAAGATGAGGTTGTTTGTCTGGACACAGTGTGCAGGTTGCAGCTAAAGTCCCGAGGTCAGTTTAGAGTTTTGGCCATGTAAAATGGCTGCTGGGGGTGGTCTGTCTTGAGCTGAGACCCTTGTCCTCCCTTCTCCAAGGTACGACAACCGGTGTCGGCACCTGACGCCTACCGAAGTGGCTCAGAAGCTGTCACAGGGCCTCGACTGGGTGGTGCGCTTCCGGCTGGAGAAGGGGGTAGAACCCTTTCAGGACCTGGTCTATGGCTGGACCAAGCACGAAGTGGCTGAGGTGGAGGGTGACCCGGTGATCCTCAAAGGGGATGGCTTTCCCACGTACCACCTGGCGAACGTGGTGGATGATCATCACATGGGCATCAGCCACGTCCTGCGCGGAACTGAGTGGCTGACTTCAACGTCCAAGCACCTCCTCCTCTACAGAGCCTTTGGCTGGGATCCCCCTCAGTTTGGTCACCTCCCGCTGCTTCTGAACAAGTACGGGGGCAAGCTGTCCAAAAGGCAGGGGGACATCTTCCTGGAGCGCTTCGCTCAGGATGGCTACTTGCCAGAGGCTCTGCTGGACATCATAACCAACTGTGGCTCGGGATTCCCAGGTAGTGACAGCAGGGCACTTGCAAGGGTGCTTTGTGATGCTGCCTCTGGGGACAGGGTTAGGTTTGTTTTAATAGCTGAGAACTTTGACAGTGTTGGAAAGTTTCAGCCTGTCCCTGAGATGCCACCAGGGCTCTGCAGAGCTCTTGTGAAAGGCTGGCTGGTGTGCTGGAGCAGTGGGAATCTTTCTGCCTCTGTGCAGCCATTTAAATCTAGTTTGATCCATAATGAGCTCCCAGCTGGGACAACTCATCTCAAGGTGAAGAAACTGTCTGTGACCTCTTGGGAAAACTTGTATTCTGTGTTTAACGACTGCAGTGTCGTGTGTGACGTCTGTCACACTTCTTGTTTAACCTGAAAGGCCATGAGGAGTTGAGTCAGTGTCTCCTTTTGTTGCTCTTGCTGTGTGGGATCACAGATTAACTTGTGTTTCGGGAGCTCTGCTTGGGAATCAAATCTTTCTTGGGCAGCAAAGCCTCTTGGCTGAGAGTTGCTTCTTTTTGGCTGACTGATGCAGGGGCTGTTCCACCAAGGAAGGTAACAGAGCCAAGCAGAGTGTCCCAGTTTCCAGTTCCTCGCCAGTAGCTGGCAGAGCCTGCTTTTGGGAAGAGGGCAGCTTCTTATGCGTGCTACCAGTTCCCTCCTGCTTGCCATGGTGCATCCTGCTTGCTGCTAGCACTGCATAAGGGGCTGTCCTGTGCTGCTTCCTGCTGGGCTGTGCTGCTGCCCTAGCCCAGCAGTGACAAGTGGTGCTGCTGCTTCTCTGTGAGAGTGGAGTCGAATCATTCCCTTGTGGGGTTCTTTTGCAGCGAACCAGATGGGGAGGACCTTGGAGGAGCTGATCATGCAGTTTGAAGTAGACAGAATTACCACCCATTCTGCCCTCCTGGATCTGGAAAAGCTCCCGGAATTCAACAGGTATAAATATCAGTGGTGACTTTAAACGTGGTAATGGGTATGTCAGTGGGAGTTTATTCCTAGCACTTGGCTCTGCCTGGGGATTTTATTGGGTCAAGCATGGTCTCTGTGCAGCAGCTTTTTGGCTGTGCTACAGTGAAGTAAAAATTCCTGCTTGCACTGTTCCCACCTTCTCTCCCATCCTGTGCTTGGACACTGGTGTCAGGAACACTGTGAGCACCTCGGCATAGCGTAGGTGTAGTTAGGGGGATGCAAGGTCTTCAGTTCAGTTTCAAAATAGCATCTAAGAAGAGGCAACTTCTGCAAGTACACTTGTGTGCTACAAGGATGCTCTGCTGCTGAGAGTTACCACATCTTTCATTCACTGTGGTGCATGAGAGCTAAATGCTTTGTTGTAGAATGTGGTTCAATGCTGCTTTGCTGGCAGTCCTGCAGGTTTACTAGGTAAATGTGAGGTTGGGATGATTAGATTTGGTCTAACCCAAAGCAGTCCAAAAGCAGTTTTCTTTGTTGCAGGATTCACCTCACCCGTCACATAGAGAACGAAGGCCTGCGACAGAAGCTGATTAAAGAGCTGCAGTTGCTGGTGGAGCAGGTCTATGGGGATCAGCAAGTGGATCAAGAGGTTCTAGAAAAGGACTATGTGGAGCGAGTTCTCCTGCTGAGAAAGGTACGAGCAGCAGTAGCACCGTGTCACTGCTCTGGGGAGCTGAGGATTTGTGCCATTCCTGGATGAGACTCAGCTAAGCCCTGCTTTGATCTGAGCTCTGAAGCCGTGCAGCTTGCAGAGGGCTGTCCCTGCAGTGCTGGTGGTGGTGGCACACTCGCCGCCAGCACCCCACTGCTCTTTAACTGCTTGTGAGGTTCAGACTGAAGAGGTTTGCTCCCCCCACAGCTTAACCCTGACCTTGACAGCTTTGCTTTCTTTCTCCAGGGCCACATAAGCTTCCTGAAGAATCTGGTGTCCAGTGATTATTCTTACCTATGGGTCAGGCCCTCGGTGTCCCGAGAGCAGCTACAAAGTATGTCTGGGGAAGCAGATGAAATAGGAAAACTGGTCTTAGGGTAAGTGTGTCTTCCCAGCTCTGTGCACAGCCACCTGCCTGCCCCAGAGCATTGCTCTTGGCTGCTGTATTGATGTGGGACATGCTCACTGTTTAATTTGCTCACAGGGATGTGCAGACAGTCCTTCTGGGCCAGTGGGTTCTGGGGAGGTTTGCCAATCTCTCACTGCTGCCCCATGCCCTCTGCTACTCCACACTCTGCAGCTAGGTGGCTGGTATGTCAGTCACCTTTCCAGTTCAGATCTCACATCTGGCCTAAAATGAGCTCTGAAAGACAGTTTTGGGAGTGATGGAGGTGGCAGTATCTGCAAACTGAGCTGTTATTTCCAGCTCTCTGTAAAGCTGGTTGCCCTTAGTCCTTTGTCACAGCAAAGTGGTAGCTGAATCCGTGTGATGGTAATTGAAATGTCAGAGTATGCACTGTCCTGAAGGGATAGTAGTTCTGCTGCCTACAGTGGAGTAGTATCAGAATGGCTTCTGCATCTCTGAAACTCAGATTATTAAAGAAGAAATCAGAATCACTGCTTTTCCTGCAGTTTTCCAGGTCCTTGGCATAATTCTGTGATTTAAGCTTGGTGCTTGCTTTGCTGAACCAGTCACTTCTGGGTTGGAATCCTGTGGGTTGTGTCCCTAATCTGTGAGGACATCATCTCTCCTAAAGGCTCATGACAAGGCAGGCGGCTGTTTTGACCGTGGAGGAGTTGAACAAAGACCTGAGAAGCCTCCACCAGCAAACCAAAGAGACCAAGTACAGCAACGTGATGCAGCTCCTTCGCTTGGCTCTCAGCGGACAGCAGGTAAAACATATACACTCTGAGACTGTGACATTCTTGTTTTCTTTATCAGCTATCTTCTCTCTGATTGCAAGATACTGGTATCTGACATCTCACAACAACTGACAGCAGTTCCTGTTACAAGGGAGTGCACTGATACACGGGAGTTCTGGAAGAAAGAGCTGTTCTGAAAGTCTCAAAAAGGCAGAAGTTGTCCAAGCATGAATGTGCTGGTCTTGGATCTGAAGCTGGAGAAGCTGCAGGACCGGCTGTAGGGAGTGTTGGCAGGGTTGTGGGTGTTGGGCAAATGTGGAATTTTATGTGCAACCTGCTTGGACATAGATCAAACCCAAGTTTTACTGAAGTTCTTCAAAGCCCAGCCCTGGCTGATGCTCTGGCATCAGTCCTTCTGGATCACTTTAACCACTCTTTCTTAGTATTTTACTTCAGGAGTGAAAAAAAACCCAAAGCGTTCTTTTGAGCTTGGTAATAAACCTCCACCCTTGGTCTAACAGCAGTCTGATAGCTCATCACTCTTATCACTTTCATTGTGGTGATACATAAGCACGTGCTGAAAAGTGTAAGTTTCCATCTGTGCAGTGATGTGCAATGACTTCTCCTGTTTTTGCAGTGTGGGCCGAGCGTTGCCGAGATGATGGTGACTTTGGGACCCAAAGAAGTGTGTGGACGGATACACAAAGCCCTGTCCAGCTAATGCCAGATCTGAGCTCCAGGAATGACCTGGCAGGCAGCCCATGGACTTGGATGGTGTAGGCAGCACCCGTCGGAGTCCCAGACTTGTAGTTTTTGATCTCAACATGATGATCTTTAATCAGACGAGCTGAGCTTTAGACCAGGCAGGTGTCATCGTGGTGTGTCCAGGTCTGTATGTATCTGCACTAAGCATAAGCCACTTTGGCTGAGAGAGGAACCAAATACAGATTGAGGTCCGTCCTCCTGCTGTCACCTCATGCAACTAGCCTGGTTTGCAGGCTGGGAGAACAAGATGTTTATCTCTGGTTAAATTCAGGCCACACAGACAGAAATAAGTGCTTTTTCTGACATGGGCACGGTTCATCTTGAGCGATCAGTCTGTATTTGGAGAGGCCCTCGCAATCAGGGTACCTACAGCTATGACTGCGCAGGTCCCCACAGATACCCTGGGGTGGGTATTTATAGGTATATATAAATATGTATACATACAGTGCGTGTATTACAGCAGCCCCAGGCTGCTCGGAGAGGGGGACTGCTTCCTGTGAACGGTCACGCGTGTGGTACTGCTAAAGCTGGCCCTGCCCGGGGGCCTGGGTCGTTTTCCTCCTCTTCGGATGATGATTTATGATTAAAGGAACGTGGTGAGTTTTGGTTCCGTTCTCGCCCACGCTCGCTCTGCACCCAGCGAGGGGAGGAGCCGCCAGCAGGGGTGTGTTTGTGGGCTGGGTGTTTCATGGGCCCAGCCCGTGGAGTGCGGGTCCACACCAGGCAAACGTGTGGGCTGCCCGCGGGCGAGCAGCGCGCCAGGAGTGGGGGTGGATCCGTTTCCTGCTGCCGGCGGGATGGAGCTGGAGCCCGAGCCCATGGCCGGTGCCACGGAGCTGGAGCGGTGGCTCAGTGAGTGGGGCTGGGGCCTGAGCGGGAGGGCGCTGGAGCAGCCTCAGCTCCATGGGGAAGGGCCCATCTCCTCCAAGGAGCCCCTTTAGGGTGATGTTCGTGGGGGCTGTCTTAACCTGCTGCGTCTTTCCCACTCCCCGTCTCTCCTGTCCTTCGTTGTCCCCAGTCCTGCCCAAGCTGAGTGCTTGAAGAAGGTTATTCCTCAATCCAGCCATGCAGGCAGAGCTTTGGAATGCGTACTTGTGCAGCCCTGTTTCAAAAGGGTGACCTGTGCCTCTGTTCCTGCACAGGAAAGCTTGTCCGGTCCCAGGAGAGCTGCCTGTAAATGGTTTTAAGTTTCCCGTGCTCTGCACTAAAAGGAACCTGATGCTGCTGCTTTCAGCACCTTGGTTCCTGCCTGACTTTGACTCTGAGGGTCCCCCGAGGACTCTTTAGGCAGGTTTTAGTACCAGCTCTTTCCTGCTTGTCCTGTGCCTTCCACTTCTGCCTGGTTTACAGAGAGCCCTAGAGCAGGCGGGAGCAGCAGGAGGTCGGAGCTGCTTCCTGCCTTGTGCCCTTCCTCCTTGTGCCCTCACACACTTCTCAAGCTGAGGCTGTTTTCATGTCTTTTTGTTTCCTGTGTAAGACAAAGCCACTGAGCCGGGTATCCCTGAGGAAAACTGGGAATGCATCCAGCGGTTCTGTGACCAGGTGAACGCTGACACGGACGGGTAAGGCAGGCAGATGGCTCTGGGGGTTTGTTCCTGGCTGGGTGCCTGGCTCTGACCTTCCCTCGTGGCTGCAGGGAACAGGGCCTGGGACAGAGCTGAGAGCCTGGCTGGGCTCTTCTGCTCCTCAGCGTCAGTATTGCAGAGCTGTGTGGTGTGGGGAGGCTGGTGTCTAGGAATGGGCTCTGGTGTCCATTGCTGCGTCTCTGCTGCTCTGTCACCAGACTCTTGGGAGGCTGGCCAAGGAATCCTGGGTGGGGATCTGCAGGGAAGCCTTGGGTGAGCTCAGCTTCTGCTTTTCCTTTCAGAGAGGTGGGAGATTCCACAGCACAGCAGACAGTCTGGGCTCTGTGATAAGGAGCAGGAACTAGTTAAACTGGTCAAAGCTTACCGATGCTCTTCCTTCAGAGCAGACACTCATGTGTTCATGCCATGTAGAGGGTTGTGAATCAGCACTTGCTCTTTGCAGCAAAAATCAGCATTTGTTTTTTTTTCGGGAACTTGTACATTGTCTGACTTGCTTCTAATACTCCCCAGCCCATTGCTTGCACCGAGGCTGCTGGCACATAAGATACAGTCACCTCAGGAGATGGAAGCTCTCCACGCACTCACAGTAAGTGCTTTCATCCACATGCAGAGAGGCAGCAGTAATTTGGAAACAGAGTTTGGGGGGAGAGGCACAACAGCTTCTTTTTCTCTTGGATGTCTCTCCCTTTTTGATGTCTCTCCCTTTTAACTTTCCATTGCACAAGGAATCCAGAAACTTGGGTGTAAGAAGGAGGAACTGCTGCTGTTTCTTCCCCTGTCGCTCTGCAGAGGGGTTTCGGTGGTCTGCAGCTTGTGCTGTTTGACCTGAGGTTCCATCATGGGATCACTGGCCCAAAAGTTATTAATGATACATAGAACAGAGCAGATGGTCTTAAACGTGCTGCTTAAGAAGGGTGGATGGAGGAAAAATACATGTTCTTGCTGCACAACTTTCCCAATATCGTGTTTGTGAATGCAGTGCCAGAAAGTTCTTAGGTTCAGTGTTAACAGTGGCACAGTTTTCCCCCAAGACTTGTGTGTGCAGTGTCTGGTTTGATCTCTGCAGGTGCTGGAGACCTGTGTGAATAACTGCGGTGAAAGGTTTCACAGGGAAATAGCAAAGTTCAGGTTTCTGAATGAGCTGATCAAAGTGCTGTCCCCAAAGGTAGGTGATCGTGGTCCTGCTGCACATTGTTGGCGGGGCGGGCTGTTTGCTTTGTGCTGCGTATGAAAACTTAGACTGAATCTTGCACAGAAGAAGAGCAGAATTCATTCTGTGCCTCCATGCACCAGGACTGGATGTGAATCCCCTGTAAAAGGTGTCAGCCGGGGGCTCTCTCTGTCCTGCAGTGCCTGTCAGGATGAGAAATGGAGATGTGTTTATCAGAGCCTGTGATCCCCCTGCATTACCCCCGTCTGCATCACAGAGCAGGCCTGCAACTTTCTTAGATACCCTTCTCAGCAACCCAGTAATCAGCTTCCCTTTTAGTGGGTCCCGTAGATATTTGCCACTTGCACAGGCTTTGTTTTCCATGAGATCACCTGGACAGCAGAGCTGCAAAGAGCTCGTTTCAGGAAGAGGTTTAACTGAGCAGTAAAACCTCTTCTCTCAGTGCCAGGTTTGGTAAAGGTGCTTCAGTGGAACAGCACAGTGTAACCTAAGTGTCAGAGTTGTGTTTGCTGTCTTGACAGAGCAGGTATTGTTTAATGAGTTTAAAATGCCTTGTGCTTGTGTGTGGCTTTTGCCATTCTGGATGTTTTTGTAATGCATTAAAGTGAGTACTCATAGTGAGAGAAATCAGAGAGCATCCAAAGACAAGTTTCGTTTCTCATTTTGTTCTGTTTTTCCTAAAATAAACCAATCTGCTTTTGGTTTCAGAGCCAATAACTGATCAGAGAAGTTCTGAAATTATTTCATTTTGATTGTTGTATAACATTTAGGTAATTATCATACACTTAATAGCATTCCCTGTATTTACAGCCACAGCAATCCACATTACTTCCTGTACTGCAAGACACCCAGTTGACAGCACGAGGAATGAAGTGCTGGGCATCTGTTTGCTACTTAGACTCTGCACACAGACATTGGGGGGCCAGACCCAGATGCACTACCTGGCACCAATTCCTTACCTTTAAACTTTGTTGTCTGTTTGGTTTTCAGTACTATGGAACCTGGTCTTCAGCAAAAGTCAAGTCAAGAGTCACAGAAGTGATATTCAGTTGGACAGTCTGGTTTCCTCAGGAAGTTAAAATTCGGGATGCTTATCAAATGCTGAAGAAACAAGGTTTAGTTCTGCTATTTCGGTTTCCTTTTTAGCCTTCCAAGTGGCACAGTTGGAAAGCACAGATGTGTCCTCTTCAGCCTGTGACTCAGCTTTTCCTAAAACATTGTGTGTGAGGTCAAGAGGACACGGGTCACACTTACACGCTGTTGGGGTCCTTAAGGGTGTATGGAACTGTTCAAAGAGATGTATCAAAGAACAGCTTTGCTAAAGAGCAGGCTGGCCTCGTGCCTCTGTTCTCACAGTGCTCACCACTGGTGTGCAGGGAAAAGGTACAGGACAAACTTGGGGATCTCTGCCCTGGAATTCTCTCCCGGGAAGGATCTGTGGAGGGGTGAAGGAAATAGGTACAAAGTCCAATGAACTGTTGAGTGTTCCAACAGCGTGGGTACCACTGAGCAACTGTTTTTACCCATTGCAGGGATTGTAAAAGAAGACCCCAAATTGCCAGAAGACAAAATTTTGCCTCCCCCTTCTCCGAGGCCTCAGAATTCTATTTTTGACACAGATGGAGAGAAATCCAAGGTAAAACCTCAGGGTTTCATGCCTGCCCCTCACCAATTTGTACTGATGAGCAAAGAAGCTCAGTTGTGCTTTGGGAGCTTTGCCTGTTTCAGACAGTATTTTTAGGATGATGCTGGTGCTTTTTGCTGTACAACAGCAGAGAATTCCTTCGTGCTTTATCAGAAGTTTTTGCCTAGTAAAAGTGAAACATTTTACAGGAAAACATCCGCTTCTATTGCCCTTTCCCAAGAGAGGGTTTCTCTTTTACAGAAATTCTACAAAGCCAGAGTGTTCCCATTCCCAGAACATCCAAGCCGTGTGTGCAGGCAGCTGTAGGAGGCAGCAATATAATCTGGATTAGATGATGGGACGTGAGCCCACATATTTCCAGGATTATAGAAACTATTCTGACAGCGGGTGTCTCAGTATCTGCTCTTATGCGATGTGTGCCTGGAGCCTGCTGCTCACTCACTGCTGTCCCATGCTCTCCCCTCGACAGCTCTTGGCAAGGCTTCTGAAGAGCAACCACCGTGAGGACCTGCAGGCTGCCAACCGACTGATCAAGAGCATGATCAAGGAGGTGGGGAGCCCCTGGGTCAGGAGCTGTGCTTGCAGCAGGGAGGGTGGGAGGTGACTTGGCAGTTCAGGCTGTGACCAGGACCCCTGTTCCTGACCATAGGGCTGCCCAGAGGAGGGAGGATTTTCAGGATTTGTTGTTAGCCAAATCATCACCTACCTTTATGTCATTTTTCATCGCAGGAACAAGAAAAGTCAGCTCAGGTGTCCAGAAGAGTGAACACCATCAGTGAGGTTTCTGAGAACGTTAAACGTATGGATGAGTTATTAGAAAACTACAAGAGACAGGAACTATCCAGATCTGACCAGGAGGCCCTACAGG